CACTTGGAGTGGGTTGTTTCCGTAGGTGGATTTTTGACACGGGTCTTGCCCGTGTTGAGATTGCGCTGGAACCCCCATTCCCTATACTACTTTCGTTATCATAGGAAAACAAAATCAATGGCAACAGGTTAGCACAAATGAATGAGAAAGACCTTGAAAATCTTGGTATTCCAAAGGTAAGACTAATATTGGTTTGCTGTAGCATCAGTCAGGAAATTGAAATAAAGTCGCTTTCTGAAGATTTCACATCAAATGATTGTCGTGTTTTATTCTTCTTTTTTTTGTTTTGTTGTTGTTGTTGTTGTTTTGTTTTGTTTTAAACTAATTTTGTCACTCTTTTTTCCCTCATTTTTAAGGGTCCACGGTTAAAGTTGTTACATGCGATTCACGGTAAGCTGTTCTTATGGCGTTTCTATCTCTCCATCTGCTTTGTCTGCTCATCCATCTGTCTGTCTGTTTGCTTGCGTGCTTCTTACCTACGATATTCTTGCTTATCTACATCATCTTTGTCTCAGGTACTCGTTCGTCAACATGGCCAACAATGAGTAACACCTTCTCAAGTCCTGGTAATGGGTATATCAAGACGGTGGACCACCAATCAAACATCGCCTCACAACCCAGCAACAAAGTGAAGCCATGCCCAAGCATCCTGGAAAACCACAACCACGTGCACGCCCATACTGAACCAGGCTTGACACCCTTGGCTCTCAAAAAAGCTGTCCAAAAACAAGACTTTGAGCAACGGCAACACCAGCAAATAACCCATAGTAACCATGGAAACCAACCCTTGTTGTCGCTTATGTCACCAGGTCGAGGAGTCCACCAATCGTCGCACAGCACCCATCAGAATCAAAATCACAACGAGTATGGTGGAGGGCTGCCGCCGAGGCCTCACTCGGCGTCCGGGAACCTTAGTAGTGCCCAGGTCTTTCCGGCCAACTCGTCCAACCACGTTGAACAGTTCCCATTTGGGGCTCAACAGGGACCATACGTAAACCACGTGACCTACGCCCAACAAGTCTACTACCCAGGGGGTTACTATTATTACTACCCACAACAATAGATCATCTCCTTCCTCACCCTTGGAGACTACCTTTGATATTCTTCCCCCACCCCTACCCCACCCTAGATTCGTCTTTGGTTATTTCATGCCCTACTTAATTTATTGATTCTTAGATCAATCGCCTGAAGGTAATTTGTGTTGATGTCATTCTGGATTAGATGGGATTTGATTGATTGTCGGCAAGTTTGTTCTGGATCACGAGGGAGCACTTCGCGTTATCGAGCCTGTTATTGTTAAACGAGTCCAATTTGTCCCGAGTTTCTCATTAAAAGGCGATCGATTCACATCACATTAGCAAAGACTCGCTTGATTTTTATTATGTACTTCAGGGAAGAACTCGTAAACCATTCATTTTTGTTCCTGAAAGAAAAAGCTTTTTCCAGTTTTTGGTCATTGGCAAACTGGGTGTGATGGGGTGAAGAAGAGAGAGGGAAGCTCTCCCCTGCCTATGACACACACACACACACCCACCCAGAAGTTTTTACAGCCTTGTTACTCAACAATCTGGGGTTGCGCAAAGTTGCTCATTATTTCCTTTGCATAAAGTACAGCCCTTGCAACATGCAAAGGAATATCGTTGCACATTGAGTGTTCATAGCAACCGTCCTGGGCCCGGTTGTACGAAGCCTGGATAGCGCTATCCGACGGATAAATCTTATCCAGAGGATAAGTTTCTTGGGAAAAGCATCGACTTATCCACTGGATAAGATTTATCTGCTGGATAGCGCTATCCAGGCTTCGTACAACCGGGCCCTGTTGCAGCCTTCAATATAAGAGTTAATTACCGAGAACGGAGGCAATAAGCCATATACATCCCGAGGGATGTATAGGCTTATTGCCGACGTTCGAGGTAATTAAGTATTTTATTTATCAATTGAGAAGGTTTTCTATCAAATGTTGCTCATTATAAATGCGAGATCTATATATAGTTGATAACCGGGTTAATAACTAACTATATATTGACCTCGCATTTATAATGAGGGTTATAACAAAAATAAAGCCTTGTGAATAACAAAGAAAACCGTGTCAATTGAGAAATAAGCAATGATAGGGACCTTAAGCTGCGGGACGTCAACGACGACGACGACGGCAAGCATACTATAGCACTAATTGTGCTATTCAATAGACACTCGTTAGAATGTACGAAATACTTTGCATCATTACCGTCTTATGGCGCGATTACACCAAGCAATTTTTTCTGGAACAAATTGCATGGGGCATTGCAGCGTGTAACCTACAGCGCAATTTGAAAAATGTTGCGAGACAAGTTGCAGCAGTTGTTGTAGAATTCGTTCCTACTTTTGGCAAAGATTGCGTCTCCGTTGCACTGTGAAGACACTCTTGCAATTTGTTTCGCAATGCTGTTGCGAGACAAGCTGCAGAGAAAATTGCTCCGTGCAATTGAGCTTTTAAGGCCCGTTTACACAAGCGATTTTTTCGGCAATTTGCAGCGCAATTTCCACTGCGACATT